ATGCCTGTGTGCCATCTCTTAATATACAATCCTACGTATCTATTTATGCACAGAAAAGATGTAAACTCCAATAACACTCCTTCTATTTCCCCACTGTGTGTTGCCCTTCATTTTTTTCAAAAAGCCCCCATTGATCCCTGTTGTCCTCAACCCCTCTTGTTGTTTTCTAGCTTTTACCCCATGGCTCTTCCTGTACCCCTACCCCCAAGATTTTGTTGCCTACTGTTGTAATTGCCCTAGAATGTTTCTGGGGCCATGTGGAATTTCAGCTATCCAGGAGGAATTTTTAAAGCAAACATTGCAAATGCTAGAAAGCCTGATGACTGAGTTAAAGCGGCTATGCAAAGTATATTCAGATTGACGCATTTTCTTCATTTTAGCTTCCAATATAGCTAATAACAAGTATGCTATTTAGTACTACCATGAGTCTTTTTGCTAACTGGTGTTCTTTCTACAAGTGTGGGGCACAGACTATTGCAGGTCTTTTATGTATTAAGCAGTGAAATTTGGTTGCTGTTTTCTACATTTTGATCCACAGTAAAGAAAAGTTTGTGGCCACCAACATATTAAGAGTTTGTGTGTTCTTAATGACTCCTTCTCTCCACAGTCTGCCCATTCAGAGTCCCTACTTAGGAAATACTAACAACATACAACTATCTTATCTTAGTATTTGCCCTTATAGGCCCTTCTTTTCCAGTGTTAACCATTGATCTGAATAAAGAGTTGGTGCTTAAGATAGTATTCCTCAGCCAGTTGGGTTTCAGCCAATAACAATTGCTAATAGGATTTCAGAACTTAATGCTTTTTCAATGGATAAAGAACTGTGTTATCCATAAAGCAACTGCTGCTATAGCTGGATCCAGCCTTCATTCCTAAATCCTATGTTTCGTGGGTCAGAAGCTATTATGTTACTGATTTTTTTTCCTAATCCCAGTCATCCAAAGAAGAAATGGTAGCAGTGCAAAGTGTTGGACATTACATGGCTCAGGTCCAAAATACCTTCAGGAATGCCTTTGCACATTAGTTCTGTCTTATCTGTTAAGGTCCTCTGGGGATAATCTTCTCAACCTTAACTCTGTAAGATCAATGTCTACTACCCAGGGGACTTTATTTATTATTTATATGATTTATATTCCACCATTTTTGTTTCAAAGCAGCTTACATTATGGTCCTCCTCTTGTTCTCAATCTTATCTCCACAACAACAACCCTGTAAAATTTATTTATTCATTTTGTGTGTTGGTACAATTAGCCAGGAAGTCTACAGTGCTAATGTAGAGTAGTTTGGTTGCCAAGGATTGCTAGCTCTTCAGTGTATGGTGGCGTTAAACTGTTGAGCTGCTGAGAGTTGCACATTTAAGAACACAAAAAAGAGCACTGTTAGATAAAACCTAGTCTCTGTCTAGTCTAGCATTCTGTTTGTACACTGGCCAGTAAGATGCTCATGGAGTCCCACATGAAGGATCAAAGTGCAACAACATTTTTCTTGTCATGTTCCAAGGAACTGGCACATAGAAGTGTATTGTCTTCGATACCGGAGGTAGGATATGGCCATTATGACTAGCAGTCCTTGATAACCTTCACCAATTGAGGCTTGCAGAGGAAGCTAGTGGTAAGTTTAAAGAAGGGATTTAGATGAAGGCAAGAAGAAAATAAGACCCTGAAAGTAGGACTCCCAAGTGGGTCCTACTGGTTGGATCTGTCTCTTACTAAAACAGTAAAATGGAGTTGTTTCAGCAGGGAGCTAAAGCCAAAGAATTCTTATGAGGGCTGATAAAACTTGGGAGTCTAGTCAGCTGCTCCCCTGATGGAGAAAACAAGTAGATTGTTAAAGGACTGTCAACTGATTCTGGAGTCTGGGAGGCTGAGGAAATGACTGCTCTCATTCATTCATTCCTATACTGCCCATTAAACAAGATAGTTCTGCTGATAATTCATCCTTCTTGTAAACCATTCAGAGACTTTAGTACTGGATGACATATAAAACTATAAATAAATAAATCCATCCTCTGAGCTGAAGGGTGATGGCAGAGTTGTGTCCTCTGGTCAGGAGTGCCCCAATAGCACAATGAGTGGCTTATCCCTAAGGGAATATTTATTTGGGATATTTCTAACCCGTCCAATCACTGTACGTCTCTGGATGGAGTATCCTATGTCTCATCCTCATAAGAAACCTCTTCAACACACTGGGAGACTTGGGGGCAGGTGTTCTGTATCTCCAAAGTAATGATTCCCTTTCTAGTCCTGCCCCCCCCCCCCCCCACTTTTTCCTCCAGGAAAAAAATAGAAAGGAAGAAAAGAAAATGTCTTAATTCCCATTTTATTGGGACAATGGTGGGAATAGAAACCCCCCTGCTCCCACTGCCTTGGCCTGTCAATACACATAGTGCTCAAGACTGGCCAAGTTATTTTGATATCTCAGGCAGAAAATCCCAGAATTATCTGTTCTTAGGAGTAAAGACAAATAATTAGGTTTTACCCCTCATTTAGGGTAACTTTGCTTTTTCTCTTCAGTTAATTTGTAAAGTGCAGTACAGATTGTTTATATATATATATATATATATATATATATATATATATATTATTTAATCTGAACAAAATAGAAGGAAAGCAGCATGACCTTAAAGGGAAAGTGCTACTAACCCACTTGGCAATGAAGGTGCCCATTTGCCTAGATTATCCTCTTTTGAAGTAACAAATGATCCAATTCTGTAGAGATTGAACTGTGCTGTTATTCTCTCACTTTTCAGATTTATAGCAGTAGATTCTTCAAATCAGCACAAGCAATACACAGTGTATAAATAATTACATACTATCCTGTCATCATCTTAATTCATGTTTTCTTATGCTGAACACAGGCTTACAGATAGATTCTCTTCAATACAAAGATAAATATTCATGGGAAGCTTTGCATGTCAGGTGAAGCTTTGTGAAGCTTATCCCAGGTGGTTGCAGCTACAGAATTAAAGCCAAAGTCCCAATCCTGAAGATTTTATTAGACATGCTAAAGAATGGGATTTTTTATCAAATATTTGGAATAACAATTGATTGGCATCTTGCTGCATGTCCTGATGATAAGAGAGGAGAGGGATAGACACCCAGAAGTAGTTTTCTCTTGTGTAGCCTTCCATAAACTGGTGCCCTCATGCAACTCCCATTGTTTTCTACCAATTGGCATGTTGATCATGTGGTGACTTGTCTGGCTGGTGCCAGTGTCAGTGAGAAGCCTGTGTTTAAGTTATATCAAAAGCAAGAAATTATTTTTCCACCAGTCTACCAAGGACAAGTGTCAACAGACAGTAACACCATTGATGGCGGAGACCTAAACAACAAGGTGAAGCAAGAAAGAGATGTTTCAAGGAAGCTAAATGAATTATTTTAATTATTTTCATCCACACCAGAGCCGCCAGAGCCATTAGACATCCACACCAGAGCCATTGGAAGAACCATCAAGATAGAGATAACAGGATAAATTTTAAGTAGTAATTAAGCCATAATCAGGGTTCATGCATTTATCCACAAACTTTTAAAGAACTTGGATAGAAGTTGTTGAAATATTGAGTGAGTGACTTACTTCACAAAGCCTGCTTCTCTCCTTTGTCTTCTTCTCTTCCCATGGTACTTTCTACAGTCTGGAGGGTGTCTAGAGGAACATAGGATTTTTCAGTGTCCAGTTAATGTTCCTGAATTTTATAAGTAAAAGTGCAATTGATCAATATGTTATCAGGGTACTGTGTTTGAGTATACACAGGAAATAATCTTATGAAGGATTTACACAGGTCGGTGTGCGTAGGATTGTAGCCTTAGTGCACAATCCTCCAGAGGCCTTTGGAAAAGTGTGCTGAGGCCAGGACTGGGTCTCCAAAATCAGAGTATTCAACCTTGTGGCGAGCATAGTTCTTGGCATGAGGAATGGGGCTCTAAGGAGTCGGTCCAGAGGGCAAGGAGGGCAATAGTGAGGCTCCATTGGGATATGAGGAATGTAGCAATGCCGTAGTAACCCCCCCCCCCCCCCGGCAGGCAGTGTCAAACATGTAGAGGGCTGAAGTCAGCCAGCTCAGTGTTTTAGAGGGCAGGAGCGCAAAGGCTAATTTTGCCTGCATGCTTGCGCTACATTCCATTATATGTCCATTATCCTCTGGGTTCGAAGGGTTACAGGGGGCCTCCTTGAATGGTGTATTCACCTATTTAAATAGTGTATATTTAAAAAGAAACACAATGAACTACACATATTTTATCCAGCTGTGCTTCAACAAAGTTAAATCTTATATATATAGGGTAGAACTAGATTATTTATTGTTGTAAGCCGCCCCGAGGCTTCGGCGAATGGGGCGGCATAGAAGCTTTCTAAATAAATAAATAAATAAATAAATAAATAAATAAATAAATAAATAAATGTGTTCCTAATAATTTAGGAAAAGGAATTTTGTTTATACATTTGTTTTGCAGAATAACAAAATAACAATGTAGCCCTATTTGCTCCCAAGTTCGTGTAACATAGGACTGCAATGTAAATTGATTAATATAGTTCTTTCCTTTGTAAAACTAAATAACTGAAGCCAATTTCAAATACATGTTAATACTGAAGCAGAAAAATACTTTATATTGAATGTTGGTAACTGCCACCCACATTTCTGCAAAACTTCATAAATAATTTAATTTTATATCCCTTCTGAGGATAAACCTGTTATTCCTTTGCTTTAAGAGTCATTATAAAATATAAATGATTTAATAGGAAATATGTGAGAAATATAGGCCCTGAATATCAAAAAGGGGAAAGGAAAATAGCAAAAGTTGAACTCTTTTGTGGGTTTATCTTAATACTCAGCATTTTTGCCATCTGACTCCATATTTGCAGTGCTTCACCAAAGCTAATGATGAATTATACCTACATGTCTACTACAAAATGCTCTTGTAATGTTGTTTCTCTGCAGTTAACTAGCCTGCCTGTGCTGTCTTTGCCTTCTTCCATTAAAATGGCTTTTTCACATTATCTCTTAGATTCATGAGAAACTGCATTACTATGGAAAACAGAGCCCTGTACCCATGTTGCATGGTGCAGTAGCTTTGGCAGATGAAGTAAGTATCCTTGATGAGACCACTGACACCATATTTCCTCAAACTGTCTGAAGGCAGAGCTCAGAACAAGCTTATGAATGGAACCATGTGAGCTGGATGTGCCAAGGTTTCCAAAGAGTTGTCATCAGGCTAATGGTGTTTTGATTTTTATTAGACATGTTACTGTTACAATAACATATCATCTAGATAGTTTGTTGTTTTGCTTTGGTGCCATGTAAGAAAAAGCATAGGTCAGGAGTCGACAGTGAAAGTAAAGCTGTTAGCTACTGATGTGTTACAAGAAACATAGACAAGAGGAATGTTTTCCAAAAATAAGGATAAATGAGATAGCCGAAGTGCTAACAGAATAAGAAAAATGACTGATAATGCTAAAAGAAATGAGGCTTAAGAAAGATATAGGAAGGGGTTGTCAAAAATAACTGTTTAAAAAGCAGAGATTTATACATATTAAGGCTTTCCAAATTAGTTTCATAACTAAAAAATAAAATTAGACTGGCTGGCATTGATAGAGTATTTAATTTCCTGTTACTATAATTTTTATTAATAAAATCAAGCCTGCCTTTTCTGCATTATATAGTGAATTCTACAACCCTGATGAATTGTGTGCACACCTGTATAAACTATGACAGAACTTGAAGTAGGCAGTATTTAAAAAAAGTTGAACTGATTTAACTGAAACTTAGGTATGCTTGGCACAGTGGTGCACACTCAAGAACAATCTTTGGCACAATGCTGGCTTTTTTGGTTGCCATTTTGTATTTTCACATAGATTAATAGTATGCACACACACAATTTGCATGTAGAAGAACCTTTTTGAACAAGAGACGAGAAAGAAACTTCTTGTAGGTTTATATTCTTTGGACATCTATAACATCTAACTCTAGTGAATATAAAGCTGCAAAAAGTTACTATCTTACTGAAATGCTGCAGTAGTACAATATATTATCCAAAGGCTGACCTTAAAGCTAAAATTAATTTTCAAATGCATGATCACAAATTGCAGTATTTGATAAGATTGTAGTATTCTACAGGCTGGTGTTTTGTGGTGCAGCTGGTGTTTAATTGAATTTAATATTGAAGAAAATTCTTCAGCTTTTAGAATGCTTGCTTATCTGGTCACCTAATGCATGCATGGTATCATTAACTTGTCTGACATTTAACAAGCTACTTGCTCTGTGTATGCAAACATAGTAAAGTTCAGACTACTAGCACTATAGGGGCACTCTGCTTCCTTATCCCAGGCCTAAACAGAATAGCTACTGTGGATTTTTGGAAGCAGTGTGGATTTCACCACTTCATTCAGAAGCAGTTTTTTAGAGTCAGTGTCCAAGTTTGATCCAGTCATTTTTTACAGGCAGCCCTTTGTCTGCACGCAAAGGACCATTCAGTTAGATGAAGTGCTGGGATTTGCCCTCGTTTCTGTAAGTCAGACTGTGATCTGGGTGTGCTGTTGCCAGATACGATTACTTTAGTCAAACTCAATTGAAAGATCCGGACAGAATTTAGCATAAGGGCCAGAAAATGAAGAGTAATGATTGATAGCCTTTTTCTCTTCATGCTGAACACATTGGAAAGTAATAACTTTGAACAAGATTGATTCTTGGTTGTCACTAACTCACTGAGTAAAACAATTCTCTTACTAATGTTCTTTATGTCACTACAATCACCTTCACAGCTGGCTGAGGAGCTGCAGAGCAAACCACTGAACAGTGAGATCAGAGAATTGTTGAAACTACTATCAAAACCCAATCTCAAGGTGAGGATGTGTTGGTTGCGCCTGTTAAACTGCATACTTGTTCACTGCTCTCAGTTTTCTTAGGATTCTGTTCAACATACCTTGAGTCCATGTGGATATGCAAAACTGCTAGAAGGAATTTGCATTAGTTTAAGAAACAGTCACTACATTTTGGTGGGCCATTGAAATGTGCAAAACAGTTTCATTTACTAGCACAGTGGATATTCTGGCAAAAGGGATGAACAGGAACGTCAGTCCAATTTTCTCATTTTAAAAATGTATTTTAATTTTTATATACCAGTGCAGTCTCATAGATTCCTGGTGGTTTACAAGAAATTAAAATGAACAATGCTTAAAACTTGACTAAAAACAAGTGTATTAAATAGAAGTGATCTGAGAACCAATCTGGGAAAGCCTGTTTGTTTGTTTGTTTGTTTAAAGCTTTTATAAACAGTCCATCTACTGACATCTTGGGACGGTTTACAACAAGCAACAAGTAAAATAGGAAATAACATCAAATGACAAAGCATCTGATAATACAACAACGTAAAACCATATTAAAACCAATTAAACATTAAAATAATGGGGAAATAAAAAGGTTTTCACCTGGCACCGAAAAGAAAGAAGTGTTGGTGCCAGGCGAACCTGGCTGGGGAGTGTATTCCATAATTGGGCGCAACTGCAGAGAAGGCCCTCCTCTGGGTAACCACCCTCCTAATTTCTTTCAAGGAGGGCTCCCAAAGAAGGACCTCATCCAGCCCGTTACCTTGGCCAGGCATTGGTTAAGGACAGCCACTGCCTCACCTGAACTAGATGTAAAAGAGAGGTAGAGCTCTCCACAGCTCATCACAGCTTGATGACTCCACAGCCCAAACCTCCAGATGTTGGAAGAGATACATCTTTAACTCCCTCTTGTAGCAATCTGGGATATCGGATGCATCTCCCATGGCAGGCCATTCCATAGTTTAGGGGTAACCACTGAGAAACTCCTCTGGGTAGTTGACATTAATCTTACAGAAACAAACTTCAGAAGATTATTCGCAGAGAACCTTAGCTGGCAAGGCAGAATATATGGGCACATGCACTCCTGAAGATAATTTGGATTCAAGCCACGAGGGGCCTTTAAAGGTAATTACCAACACCTTGTATTGTATCTGGAAATGTACTGGCAGCTAGTGCAAAGACTTAAAAACAGGTGATGTCCCAGAGACCAGCCTGGCTGCCATATTTTGTGCAAGTTTCTATTTGCAGAGTAAATAGAGATAGATATCCTTACATAAAGCACATTGCAAAAATTGAGCATAGAAGTTACCAGTGCTTGCACTACTGTTTTCAGGTCTCCAGGAAGGGATTTTGTTGGCAAATCAGCCAACAGACAGTCTTGACAATGGCTTCTATCTGTGCTGATACATGAAGGGGAGAGTCAAGCTGCACCCCCCAAACTGTGGTCTTTCAGGAGGAGTGTGACCCAGAACTGGCTGGCACACCTCCAATCCTGGATTTGGACCCTTAACAGGAAGCACCTCCATTTTGTCTGGAATCAAGTTTGTTTTTCTTCATGTAACCCATTACCACACTCAGACAGTCATTCAGAAAGGAGAGGCTGCCTCTAGAAGCAGCAGCAGATGATGACAAGGAGAATTAGATGATGTGGGTGTCATCAGAATATTGATAGCACCCAGCACCCATTCCTCCAGATTATCTGTCCCAGCAGCTTCATGTAGCTGTTAAACAGTATTGGAGACAGAATGGAGCCCTGTGGAACAACTCAGTTCCTTCTTGGAGGACTGACAGTCTCTAAGCATCACCATCTGGAACTGAACTGAGAGATAGGAACAGAACCACTGCAAAACAGTGCCTTCAATTCCCAGCTCCCTCAGATGATCCAGATATTATGGTCAATAGTACTGAAGGCCACTGAGAGATCCAACAGAACAAACAGGAACACACTCCTCCTGTCAATTCTGAGTCCTAGATCATTCACTAGAGTGAGCAAAGCAGTCTCAATTCTGTGTCCTGCTCTGAAGCCAGTTTGAAATGGATCCAGAAAATCAGTACCACTCAGGACTGCCTGTAGCTGGAGACACACCACCTTCTTGATCACCTTACCAAAAACTATATGTTTGGGGCTGATTAAGGTCCAAGGGGTTCAAATTAGGTTTCCCAAGAGAGCCATACAATAACCCCCTTTAAGCAGGCAGGAACCCTACCCCCTACTCTGAAGGTAGGCATTGGTAAGACATAATAGCTCCCTCAGTGCTTCCACTGTTTTGATTACTAGCCAAGATGGACATGGATTGGGAGGGCAGATGGTTTTTCTCACCATCCCAAACAGCCTGTTGACATCATCAGGGTGTACAAATTAAAATTGTTCCAGGATAACCCCATTCACTGGGTTGCTGGACACCTCTGTGTTGATCTCCACTTCTGCAATTACGTAAGACCTTGCTCTTATCCAAGAAACTTTATCTGCAAAATGGTTGATAAAAGTGTCACAGTGAGCAACTGATGGTGCTAAAGATAGGGGACACTGGGGCTTGAGACAAACCAATTACCATTCTAAATAGCTCTATTGGACATGAATTTGCAGAGAACTGTTTTGTCAGAGGTGAGTCTAGATTTCCTTCATTAACACTTCTGTTGTTGTCCTTCCCACTTCATACATTGGAGTTCCTCTGTATACCAGGGAGCTCTTTTGGAAGCAGAAGAGGGAGGACACTGAGGAACCATCATGTTCAAGGTCCTAATCAACACCATATTCCGTTTTGTGACTAGGGACTTGACAGGCTCACTGGAGAACTGGCTAAAAAACCCCTGAGGCTGACTAGAAATGCATTGGTTCCATAAGTCTACAGGGACACAAAGAAGGGGCTGTGATCTTAGCCTTGACCAAGTAATAAGCTGACCACACCAAGAGTGAGGGTGTAGAAACTCTGTGTATATCATCTCCTTAACAGGGTACCTAGTCAAAGGGATGGTATTCACAGCCACACCACCACCTCGCCCACTTCCCTTATCTGTTCCACAACACAATAGCTCATTTAGTGGGCCTGTGCACTTATTGGACTGCTCTCTTCTCCCAGCCAGATTGTGGGTGAAAGGGATTGATTGTTCTCCAAATTACTCTGGCTGGCAGGATAACTGGAAGGAGAGATAGTTATATGACACTCATTCTTGTGCAACGTTATTTCTCCTTGATCACCCACCTACCCTGCAGCACCTGAATGGTTACTCCCATACACATAATTCCCAGACCATAATTAAAAGATAGCAACAATGATTAAAACAACAGTGAAATTACATAAAAAAATCTGAAATGGTGCATAATAAAAAATTAACAACTTTACATCTACTCTGTCTGTTCAAAAGGAGTGGCTCTGCTCTCACCCGTATCTGTGTAAAACTACTGAACTACCTAGCTAGAGCTGTCACCTCTAGTTGGGCAATTCCTGCTAAACCAGCACCTCAGTAGCACATCACTCCAACCTAAGTATGGGGTGTAAGTTAAAGGCACTCAACAGTCACACTCTCTTATATGTACCTTCTCAGGTCTTAAAACAGGCCAACTTCACACAAATGCCACAATTATATACCAGCCATAACTAGAACACATTCACAAAACCATTAACCAGAAGAAACTGCCCTGTTCAGTAGAAGCTCATGGCAGCAGGAACCTTCTCCAACATACTGCTTTGGGGGAGTTAACTGTGCTGTGTGGAAGCACCTTAACATTTGTTTCATGGCTGATAAGTCAACATGAAATGACTTGTGAATAGCAGTTCTCCAATGACAGCATTTGGTCTGTAAATAATTGTTCCCAACAGATACAGGAATCTGTTAAAGAGATTAGATGGCCCCCAGTTGTTTGTATTCATAGGTAAAACCGTTTGACACACTTTGTCTTGACTCATGTCCCTTGCTACTATGTATTCTGATTGTTTCTGCAGGGGTTGATAGAAAAAGAAGTAGAAAAATACTACTACATGGTATATTTGGAAGATAAAATTTAAAAAGCATATACCCAGATCTGTGTAAGCAGTTGTACAGATCTTAACATTGCCTAAGTATGAGGACAAAGTATATATATGCTGCATATAATACCCTAAGGTAATCTCTTTCAACTGTTCTCCATTGTAATATATACAAGAAAATAACCGCTGGGGAAACAGCCAAGTTCTTCTCTTCATTAAGTTCGTACTGATTAAAGATAATCCTCTGTTAATTTCTAGCATAAATCGTGCCAATTTTAATTTGTTTTTAGGTCAATTTCCTTCTCAGTTACATCTGTGAATGGGTTTAATGAATGTTTTAATAATGAACCAAATTGACTTTTGCAGATAGAATTTCATATACTCTGCTAAGGTTGCATGCTGATAGATCCTACAACTTTTCCTGCAACTGTAGCAACTTTTCTTGAATCCACTGTACTCACAGAGGGATAAATGTTGCACTGTTTAGCCCACTTTAATCTGGTTCATACAGAAACTCTAATAGGATCCTGTAACTAACAGGAATTGTGTGGAGAACTAGTGACTTTTTTTGCATGTGCATAATAAGTCACTGTAGGACAGCGCAGACATGCAGAAGTTTTTGCCAGCTACTGCACAGTTGTAGGACTTTGTGACTGCTAGAGACAGAGATTAAGAGACTTTATCATATTTCTATTCCACTAAATGTATTCCACTTAACGTATTCAGATCCATAAGGGTACAATCCAGTCTAAAAGTCTGTAACCCTCCGAACTTAGAAGATTATGGGTAATCTAAGGTTGATTGTCTCCATGGGCCACATGCCCTGAGAAACAGTGTCAGCTGTCAGTCTTGCACCTTAGAGCAAGAGGAAAAGAGGCAGCGGCACTGCAAGGAGATCTAGCATCCTGGTGGCACCAGTATTTTCCCATCTCCCCAAATGCTAACACCACCCATTCTCTTGAGGTCCCATTGGCTACCCCACAAAAGCAGGGTAAGATAACAGAAGGAAAAAACAAACACAATTAAAAACTATTTAAAACATTACATCAT